ATGTATTATTTATGTAATTGTTTTATGGCCACAGAAATAAAAAAATATACTTATTTAAAAAAAACATTCACATTTTTATTTTAGATGGGGCCTTGAAATAAATTTTCCTAAAACTAAACTAGTTCGCGGTCGTAAGCTAGCTACGTTATATGAATAACTATGATAATTTCCTTATATATAATTATTAATAATTACGCAGATTACACATAATATGTTTTAATATGAACATTAGGGTTTTTCCGAGAATTTCCATTCGTAGTAAAAAATGTGATTAATGAAATGTATGAATTCTTTAAAACATATTGAATTTTATAATAAAAATATACAACTTATTTGTTTTTTGTATATACTTTGACCTTGAAATATGAGATTATTTTAAGTATTATTTAGATATTTGTTAGTTGCTATAGGTTTTTGATTAGAAATGACCTCACTTAAAATGTTTAAATGTTGTTTTTTTTTATGTCACGTCCTATGTTGACGCGTTATTTGTATGCACAGTATGTACAGTGACTCATATTGTTAACATAAACCTTAGACGATATTCTGTTATTACCAGTCAGTTGGTTACCTTGTTATAGAACAAGTAAGCCATATTATTTTTTTATTACCAGCCAAGAATAAAACACGTATCGCGTGAGGAGGTTGGTTTTTTGAAAAGTTCTTATTAGAAATAAATAAAAAATAAGTGAGGCATTAATGTGGATTGTGAGAGATTAAAATCTTTATGTAAAGTGAGTATGTATAAAGGTAATTTTTTTTAAAGTTTTTTTAACGATGATAAATAAAAAAATATTTATTTAATATCAATAAGGTCTACTGTATATAGACTATAGAATTCAATTAAGTGCCTTATTCTGTGATAGAGATATCGATTAATTAAGCTTGACCATGAAAAAAATATCTACAGTGTCTTAATTAGTATATATATCAAAGAATAGCGAGATTTTTTAAACTCTTATATTTCTGCAATATAATAACCGTTATAAGAATTCACGTAATAAAAATTAAGTAATTCTCGTAGGCACGATACACAATCCATCCTTCCATCTTGGTAACATTAGTTCGATTTCTGACAAAACAATAGTACAACTGCAGCGGTAAATTATCGATAAATACAAAAAAATGCATTATTACCATAATCCCTTTCAGTAGGGTGCAAGAGAGAAACAACTAATTCAAAAGTTCTATACTATAAACATAAAATTCAAACCGTTTTATTATACGCTTATACGGTTATATGTTATAAGGTTTACGTACTATCAAGGCGTTCGAATGGCGCCAATCTAAAGTGAACGTATTTAGAATTTATCAGTATACCAAATGACATGCCATTGACATATTTTACAAAAACCTTCAATGCAACTGCTCCTTAACGTATTACCACACAATAAACAAATGAAAAATTCTTAGAATTCCTTTTAATGTTGTACGAGCAATTAACCTGTTTTTTTCTACTTATAATAGTTAATCTAATTATTATTCTATTAGCTTAGTTCGAAACATACTCGTTTCATTTATTGTCTTATGTACCTTAAACAATTATTAGATACTTGCTGTGTCAATCTCTTTTACGTCCGGGGCGTGAGAACTAACCTACGTTTGGTATAACCAAACCTCTTCCAAATAGATCTCTCCGTTATGAATGATACTTTGAGGACATGCGAGGCTGATCCTTTTCCAATAGTATCCATACCTTCAAGCGTAAGCAACCATTATTCCGGGAAATATGTTTTAATCATAAAATTTTATTTATGGTGTGTTAGTTTTTTTCTTATTTGTATTCATTTGAAGAGCATACTTGTTAACAAATAAAATTCACTTTTCAATGTAATTTTTGAATGAGTGTATTTTAGCGTGCCTTTTATAAACTTTCGTACTATATTTATATATTCTAATAAGCATTCAGTTACTCGCAAAAATGTTAATAGTTGAAAAAAAAATGTATAATTATTTTTGGTTTGGTTTAAGCCAAACCAACTTAAGTAAATATCAAAAATAAAATCACATACGCTGTCGACTAAAAAGTTTAATAGTTACAAAGTATTTTACAATATGACTTAAAATTGTTTTTAATTAAATACAATCTTGAAATGTCATAATTTTTAATCGACCAAGTAATTGACACCAGAAAATTCGTTTCAGTCTTCGTCATGTGAGTTTTAAAAGTTACTTCGAGATGACGCTGATATGATAAATTACGTAGTATACGGCGTACGGCATAATTTATGTTGCTTCGCCTTTAATATGTATTTCCTAAAAAAATAGAAATCGTTCGGAAGTAATTTGTATAATTTTTCACAGAATGTCTTGTGGTTGACTTTTTAATTATTTTAGTTAGGAATTCGCCAAAAAGAAAATGTGAATTCTAAAATTATCTATGGTGTCATTAGTAAAGCCACATATAAATATTGACATAAGCCCACGCGTTAACTTTAACGTATATCGTTAAACGCAACATTTAAGAAGAATAAGAGAAACATTATAAATAAAAATGGTATACATACATCATATTCTGTTAATCTTTTTTAATGTTTAAATTTTGTTCCCCAGGCCCAATAGGGAACCACTGTGGCTTAGAGGTTAACTCACGTTGCAGGAAATCCTAGTTTTCCAGGGAAACAATAATTGTTTCGGTTTTTAGGCACAATAGGCTGCCTGACATTTATTTAATTTAAATAATATAAATCAATCAGACACAGAAGATTGCGCGATACTGGTCAAATGTATTAAAACTCTATAATTTTATTGCCTACACTACTATATTTAAGATAAAATATAATTCACAAAATATTTTATCTTTATCTACTTATTTGTAATATAACAGATGATTGTAACATTCAAGGTGATATTTACTTTTCATAATGGTCCTAAGAGGAAACTTAATATAGCGTAAACACAAGAAGATGCTGCCAAGGTCGAAATACACACTTTATATACATAATAGGTTGTTTTAGATGAGTTATTGAGTTATTGAGATATTGTTTGGAAACTAAAAGCAACTTTTTAAACAGTACAAGAATTTTTCATGTTTGTAAAATATAAAGAGTGCTGGTAGCGTGACGTAATTTCAATTGACTTTTGACAGTTCTTTTCCATATTTTATTGCATAAGAAATGCTATTTCATTAATTCATCATCCATTACTTTAAATAGCATGGAAACTTCATGTAAATAATACACTTTTATTTTATACATACATTTTATTTAGGTACTGTAATAAAATCAAATATTTACGTTTTTTGTCGGAATTATTAAATTAATTGGCCCAGTAAAAAATTCCCTTTACCAGGCCTAAACGAATAAAATTAAAATTAGAAAAGAGTTTTATTTAATACCTGAAAATTAAATATATTTTTAGACTTTATGCGCAATATATTAGGTCCTTACATATGAAATTGGCGTATTTCGTACTGGCCACTTTAATCATGATGTTCTCCTCTTTGGTAAGGAATTCCAAATTCAAATTTGTACAGCTATTTACTCATGTATTTGTGCTTCGATGACCGTCATTCATTTGTTTTTTCTTTTTTTTTTCTGTTTGCGTCACTCATTTTACAAAATGGAAAACTTAAAGTATCGCATTATTTACGAGTACGAGTTCCGCCGTGGCACTAGTGCTGCGGAAACGACTCGAAGGTTGAATGATGTGTATGGCGGTCATGTTGCAAAAGAAAACACAGTTCGTTTTTGGTTCCAACGTTTTCGTTCTGGAAATTTCGACCTGCAGAACAAGCCCCGTGGACGGCCTGAGACCCAAGTTGATAATGAAGTAAATTGAAGGCTATTGTGGAAGCGGATCCATCGAAAACCACGTCCGAGTTAGCTGCAGGCTGCGGTATTAGTGATAAAACTGTTTTAATTCACTTGAAGCAAATTGGGAAGATTAAAAAGCTTGAAAGATGGGTACCTCACGAATTGACTGAAGCAAACCGAAAATTAACCCCAAAAAAGTTACTTGTAAGCGTTTGGTGGACTAGTGCCGGTATTGTTCATTGCAGTTTTCTCAAATCTGGCCAGACTATTACGGCTGATGTCTATTGTCAGCAATTGCAAACCATGATGGAAAAGCTAGCGGCTAAACAACCTAGGCTGGTCAATCGCTCCACGCCACTGCTACTTCACGACAACGCTAGACCACACACTGCACAACAGACGGCTACCAAATTAGAAGAGCTTGAATTGGAATGTCTAAGACATCCTCCGTACTCCCCGGACCTTGCTTCAACAGATTACCATTTTTTTCGAAATTTGGACAACTTCTTGCAAGGGAAAAAATTTAACTCTGATGGGGCAGTCCAAATCGCCTTCACAGATTTTATTGATTCCCGTCCGACTGGTTTTTTTAGTAAAGGGATCAATGAACTACCTATGAGATGGCAAAAGTGCATAGAAAACAGTGGTTCATACTTTGATTAATTAAATATATTATATTTAAAAATATTCGACTTTTTGTTCCTCCCATACAAAACGCCAATTTCATATGTAAGGACCTAATATTAAAATACAAAATTGCGTATGCAAATCTTTTGACATATAATTCTTAATTATATGTCATATACCCTCTGTTATTTTTAGTTTATTCTGGGCATTCGTAGGAGATGCGCATTTAGAGGAATACCTATGTGTGAATGTTGCATAATATCGTAATGGTTTTAAAAATACCACCATTTTTAATAATATAATATCCATAATTGAATCTTTGCATGTAAGATGTGTTACTTAAGCTAAATTTAAATCCTTCTACGGTTTTATAAAGAGCAATCACGGTTTGACTTAATTTACAATATAGAAGGGTTTGTTTTATCTCTGGTATTTTGCTTTCTACACAAAAGCGCGGGAAACGTGCTAATTAAATTTGACATGTCAATTTTACAATGTGTACATTGTTATGTACAAACAATATCCAAATTGTGATTAATTAGTTTTCGTTTACACGAAACCGACAATCGTTTTGTATATACCAGCTTCACACAAATTAATATTTATGTTTCGTACAGCATGGAGACCTTACCAAACCATCCACTAATAGAAGTCACAAGTGATGACGTCACAAAGGCGAGGGAATTTTACGAAATAAATGACGTCACAAGGATAAAACAAAGTTTAGATACGATTTATGAGTGGTGCAATAAGCAAGATCATTTGGTAAATGCATTGAAAGTTATGGGTAAGAATTCCTCAATAGTTAAGTTAGTGGGAATATGAAATAAAAGACAAAACGCTTTATTGTGTCAAAAGCACCTCTGTCCTTGTAGATATCGCGCCAAGTTTCGTCTTTTGTTTTTGACGCTATGACTCTTCTTGTTAGCAGTTAAAATATAGCAAACAGACCGAGTAATAAACAATAAATTAAGGCGTTACGTCTTTCGTTTTACATCCTCACCTCAAGGTACTTAGATGTATTTTGTCACTATTTTTATTACGTATTAAGAATGTAACAATTTGATCAGCTGTAACGTCAGCTAAACAAATTTGGATGAATTTACGATTAATATTTGATAGCCGAACTTTATTATTTTATTTGTTCACTACAGAACATTTTAAGGCATTTTTCTTGTAGCTCTGCCAGTTTTCGTACTGTTTCTGCACCGATAGGACTTTAGATTCTCATTTCTAGGGGCGTACTAAGAGTGTACCATATCCTTAAATGCCCCTTTAGGGGACAAATCTAATTGTTATTTCCTATAAAAATAATATAAATTTTACTCCTAGTCCTAGTTGCAGGAACTTAGAAACTTAGCTGTACTATAGTATATATCAGTTACCAGTAAAGGTTAATACTGGAAATAATATTATTATTTTAGGGGGAGGGTTCGAGTCAAATCTCATTGAACTCTTTTGAACAATGGTGGTCTCGTGCAACTATAACTAATATGCATTTAGGGTTGAAAAAATAAATAGGTTGCTAACGCCATGTCCGTCACTTGTCGATAACATCCTTATCTAAACGCTAAAAAATTTATATTATATATTTCAGATCGCAATATCATAGAACGAAGATATTGATTTTTTTCAATAGACAGTCGAACGCGGTCTAAGACCCAAATTAGAAAATTACGTAACATCTAGGGGGATGGGGAGGTGACGGAATCTGATTACTAATAGGGAGAGTGTTGAAGAATTTAAAATAACCTTACGGAATTATGGGTACGCCTCCTAAAGGTTATCCATGGAAGTAATATTATTATTTTAATTCGTAAGGTGAACTCTGTGAACAGGCGTAACTACTTAATAACCTAGCGCGTCGTAGATACGGTTGGTAGAAGGCGGTTGTACGTCATAAGTGGCATGTTTTTTAATATATTGTTTCAGCAAAAAATCAGACCACAATAAAGTTGCTGTGGCAATTTTGTCTTTAACGGATATTGAATTTATCCAGAGGATCGGTAGGAAACATCAGTCAGGGACCACCATGCAATTTATTACAGGTAGGAATGATGCCATGGAACTGGCTCTGAATAAGAGTGTTGAAACGTTTGTACTTTCATACACAGGGCCATCTGTTACATATTTCGACTAGTCCTTACAATAATAAGTAAATTTGTTTTAATATAAATTAAGAATTTGGACGACAGACAGCCAAATTGAGTTATAACCTAAACTCGTGAATACAGGTGAGAAGGCGGTAAGCATAAATGCTATTTTTAATTTATTGTTTTATCATTGGTTAAACATCTAAATAAACGAAAGTTGACAAAGGAGTGACACTAAAATATAAATTTTGCTTAAACTCTGAAGTACTACACCACAATACAAATTTATTTAAACTAAAGAGTTAAAAAATATTCAACAAATACAAAAAACCAAAGAAAACATTACAACAAACAGAGAGAAAAAAAACTTTTTTATACCTTATAAATTATAAAGCAATCACAGCCCAGGTTGGCCAAAAAATACCTTTTAAGGGTAGGTACTCTTGCAAATGTATTCGTTGAAAAATCTATGGGTTGAGAAGGGAGTCTTGTCATCGTAAAGTCTCATTTCAGAATATTTGCCCTTTAAGTCGTGGCAAACACGACTAAGAAATTAATCCGTCCATATTTTTTTTAAATACACAAATGTTTAGATGTGTTTGTAAAAGTCTGTGTTAATATAAATTTGCGAAAACGGTCCACCAATTTTATATTCACTACTACGATTTCTCGGGTTTTATATACAAAGTCCGACTGTTAAAGACATCCTTTGAAAATAGTGGAGCAAATACTTATTCGATATAATATGTCAGCATAATCAATTTTAAATTAGAATAAAATAAATTAATGAACAGATTATAATAACAGTTTCATTAATTGTTAGTTTCGCGGTGCAACTTGTTTTCTATGACAAGCTAAGCATTGCACGAATCATCACTTATTTGTAAAACATATCTATTAATGATTAATTATTTTTACTTATTTTAACGTTATTCTACCATTACAGAAAATTCAAACTAATTCGATAAAAAATAAATTATTTATTTCGTCATACTTAAATACATACATTTCAGATTATATGTGCCGCTCCCAAAGCTGCATAAAGTAGATCAGTCCAGAGTGATGGTGACGCAGTTTCTCTCCGAAAAACTCGACGCGTTCAGCTTATTGTCATACTTTCGTTATGCATTCATGGTAATATATAATAACTTACTAAAAATAAAGTTTTAGCTCACTTAGTGGAAGACTTTTCTCAGTGGTTGCTCTAGACTTTTTACTTAAGCGACATTTAACAGATAAATTAATTGCTGAGGCACAAACTTTGATCTCCGACTGACACAATATGTCTTTGACACTGCGACAATCTACAGAATTACAAATTTATTTTTAACTTGTGATCTGAAGGGCCTCATAGCTGTCTTATTAAGTGGCAGCTAGGTGAGGGGTACCGGGTTCGATTCCCGGTTCGAGGGCAAGTTTTAATTTAATTTAAATTTGTTCTCGGCCTTTGGGAGGGTTGTGCGGTACCCGGGCAAGTGCTTAAACCGTACATGGAGGACACGGTCGAATTTCTAAGGCAAGCACGAATTATAAAAAAAAAATCTTATACTTGACGCTGGCTAATGCACAAACCGTGCCAGAGCCATAAAAAAAAAAACTTGTGATATGACCGGGATGGAACCTTATTACTTCGCAGTAGTTTTACCATATCGTTTAGCAATATAGCCCTAAAATTTACTTATACCTATATATACGTACTTTGATGCTATGTACTAGATAGAGTGCGGATGGAGAACCTATTAATTCTATAAGAATTAATACAGTTTTTGCTACCCGCTTCATCTATTCACAAAAATTTAATACTTTCATAATTAGTATCAAAATGATAATGATCCTGGCAACGCGCTCGCGAGCCCTCTCGCATTGAGAGCGTCCATGTGCGGCAGTACCAGGTAATATTGTTGTCCACATAACAAACAAAAAAATTTTAACACTACTGAGACCTCTAATCGTAAGACGGTTCTCTTTCCGCACAGACTCTATAATAACGTTATGAAACCATGGACAAAAAATATTATTTACCTATTTATTTCCTGGTAAGGTTTAGTGATGGAGAGATGTTTACTCCGTGCTTAATAGGGCTTAGTGGAGGCTTAAGGGGGTTTTGCAAACGTAACCTACAATTGCGGACTGGGCAGACATATTTATGTGTACTTATCATTTTTCTTTATAGTGAGTTTTCTTCTAACACGGAACGATGTTTTATAGGAATCAAAATCAGGACTTGTGTTGTTGCAAATAGGATTTACAAATATTTTTTTTTATTGATTACTTTAACGCTTCTTGAATATCGAGCAAAGTCTGAAAGCATAATACAGTTTGAAAATTATAAGGTAACTCAAGAGACGTATGAATTTAACAATGTGTATGATGATCTGCAACATAAGGCCATGTTCAGATGGAAAAACTGGACACGCTTCTCCTAAACGCACACTCACCGACTAGACACTGTGGTTCATACAACTGTTCATAGGAGCTGCAACAGTTAAACTGTTCCGCGTGAGCGAGCGTTAACGCGGCGCTCAGAGAAAAGGTCTCTAGACGCAGGTGATCGCGCGTAGCCTGGCACTTTGACATGTATGTAACGTCCGTAGACTGTTTAGTTGAGCGCGCGCTTGTTTTTTTGGTACTTGCTTTCGTATTCAATTCAAAATGAGTTAATCTCAAGATATTGAAATCGATTTACTAATTGATGAAGTCCGGAAAAGGCCAGCGTTTTAGGATATAGCTTCAGTATCTTATAAAAATATAATTTTAAAACGACGTGCTTGGGAAGAATTGGTTTTTAATTTTCTGTAATGATACCGATTATAAAGAAGACTTTTTTGTAATATAGCCACAAAATAATCTAGCTTCTTCCACGCCCATTTTTTAAGCTCTGTCGAAAACAAGACTGACGAGCTCTACTATTCGCAACGTTCGTAAGCGCTTGTCATCTGAATTCTTTATAAATTTTATCGCGCGTTGATCTGCGTTATATGTGAACTTAGCCTAAACGTTAAGGCGTATTTATATTGTATTTTTTTTTCAGATCGGTGAATACAGACTGCACTACGACTATTGTCTATCTGAACGATATATAATCGATTTGACTAATATACATGTCGGCCTTGTTACAAAAGTCAACCCAATGGTGGTAAAAAAAGCAGAAGTGTTGTGTACGGTATGTTTTCGCTCGTATTCAGATGAGGCCTTCATTTCTAAAAATAAAATTGTTCATATATATGAGCAGAGCCTTAACTTTTGTAACTAATCAATTCTGTTTATGTATAGCTCATATACCTCTAATTACCTGTATTAAATCTATTTAATAAACAGAACTACAGTCAAATATGCTACGTGTGTAATATTTAAATTACGAACATCAAAACGACTCAAAACGCTAATCAGACTTACAAAATAAAAAATAAAAATTATGGTCAATCGTTATCGGTCAACCACAGATAGTAACATCAAAGAGTTACCATTCCTTTTTTATAAATTCGCAATATCTTCAGTCTGAGCTCTTTGGAATATTCCAATTTAGGCGCTATTCAAACCAATGATTGGTTAGTAATATGTAATTCATACGTTTAGTTAAATTTATTTATTTAAATTATTTAACCAAAAAAGTTTCCATTATGGGAATTCATTCACCAAGTACCTATTTACAAATAGGATTTACACTTATATAACATACACCTACGTATAGATAAACCAACGACAGTAAACAGTAACGGTAATTGTAAATTTTATTAACTTTTTTAGTTCTGAAAATAATAAAAATACTGCATAATTAAATATAAACACAAGTTTTAAACATCAATCATTCTTCTCCATTTGATTAATAACTTTATTTTCAGGAAGGTTTTGGAACTAAAATAAAAGGCATCCACCTATTGAACGCACCACCATTCGTCGATAAAATCGTATTTCTAATAAAACAAGGTTTGAAGGAAAAGGTTGCCAGTCGACTCCATGTCCACAACTCCTACGCCGACCTACACAAACATATTCCTAAGGAAATTCTTCCAAAAGACTTCGATGGGGATGGTCCATCATTAATAAAATTAGCAGGTAATTTTTCATAACAGACGTTGATATCAGTTCAGAGAATTATAACGTAGGTTATAAAGACCCCTTTAAATAATTAAAATATATTTTGAAAAGGATGATAATTATGAATGAATTAAAATAATAACAAATATTATAAACACGATATGTTTGATTTTTTTAACTAGTTATCTATTTTATTGTACTATGTATAATTATGTTTTGTGAACCAAATAATGTTTCGTTCATTTCGTTGATTTATTATTTTATTTGAATATAATTTAAAAATAATGTTTAATTCTGAAATAATAGCTGCAATTACCTAGATATATTTATTGCTTCCAGAGCAATGGAAAGAAACACTAAAAACTGAAGAAGCAAAGAAAATAATTAAAGACATGGACCAGTTGGTGGCCGATGAATCTCGTAGAAGCTCATCAAAATTTAACGAGGAATACTTAGGGATGCCAGGGTCATTTAGGAAATTAAATGTAGATTAGAAAATTGTTTAGACGGGTTTTTTATGTACTCTCAGGTATCTACGAGTAAATCTAGGGTAGTTTAATTAGATGTACCTTTAGCTAATTCTAAATCAATGTAGACACGATGTTTATTACCAATTATTATTATTGTAATGTATGTTTATTATTCTGTTTTTTGTGTATTACCAAATAGTTATTATTATAGTTGGGTAGTGGATTCGCAACATTCTTTGTCTTACATTATTTAAGCCTTTATTAGCCTTTATCGGGTAAAAGGTCATTTGGTCATTATTTTAGCATAAAGGAACATAATATATTGAATATTAAAGACGCAATCTGCGTCTTTTTCCCCGCTATTACTACATATTCCCATAAATAAAACATTGGTTTCTTTTTCGGAATGAATAAAATGCATTTAAGATGTTGTTTCTGATTTGGCATCTTAAATTCTTATTCTTTCTTAATTCTTAGTCAATTGACTAAGAATTGTATGATGATGTTACGTTCCGTAGCTCCAAAATGAGCACCATTGACTCGAAATTAAATAGAACCCCGGACGCCACGTTTATCACAAAGTGGGCAGTATTAGAATAATAGTTGTATATCGGCCAACAATGCCTGCTCTATTTATCTCCGCCCAGCGGTGGCGTCTGCGCTGACAAAATATGGTTGGGACGCCCAACGCAGCGGCGTGATCACCTCGTGTCGTACTCACGTCATATTTTCAGTCATTGATCAACTTTATTTTAATCCACACAGGGTTGCGAAACCTAGCCCCCAGATAGCGCCCTTCTGGGGCGATCAGGTTAAAGGCGTTTAAATTTATTCGTAAATCTGGATTTAAAATATTGCCATTATTATTACATACAAAAACTTGTTACATTAATAATTAACAAGTGTGTTCTTTACACATAATTCATGTTTTTGTTTAATTACGCATGAACGCAAACCAAAAACTTTAAATAAAATTGGCCCGTAAATATCGATATGAATAAATTAATTAAATCTTTTATATTACGGTGGCGAGATATTATGATGCCGACAAAATTGGTGTCACGGTCGATAACGGAAATATCATTTCCAGCCACATTATTTGTGATAAACATTATTAATAATAATAGTAAATATACTACTATAGGATTAATTGAGGTTTGTAAGAAATCGAATGCGGAAATTTAAGCTGACTTCAGAAATTATTTCGTGGAAATGGCTCCTAATGACAACGTTCATACATAACGTTACCTAACTATATACGTATACAGTTACGTACGGTTACAAGTTAAATACCTCAATATAGTTATTAAATTTTATGTCAAGGTATTCATGTATAGCACTCGGGTTTCGTCCAGTAACATTGAATTATTGCTAATTATAAAGTTAGTATTTACTATATAATATATAGTAGGTAAACGTTATGGGCTTTTATCAACTGTAAACTTTACATAAAGCATTTGTTGCTTGAATTGAAATACCACTGAGCTTTAACCCTGGCAAGTCTTTGCCAAAGAGGACAGGGGGGGTTTTTTAAAAAAAAAAACACAAAATAATGTTGAAATAAAAAATTAACATGGACCTACAATTAAGGTTAGGTTAGGTTAGGGTCGTGGGTGCAGTTTCCATATGTATGCTTTTAATACTACTGTGTAATACATATTTAATCTTACAATTTTGGTAAATAAAAATATATCACAATAAAATTGGGCGAGCAATACACACAGATGCTTTATAATAATTAATAGTACTGTGAGTAGGTGTTTTGTGAAGAGAAATGTTAGCTTGTGGCTTATGCGTGCGTCCTTCAACCCTGAGGTCTTGCATTCACGGCTGTGAACTAAAAGAGTTTTTTTTATATGCACGATTAACACTCTTACGGAGGTTGTTGGCGTGTGACAGGTATTAAAGGGCAACCTTGTCTATAAAGATAAAATTACGAAACAGATACAGGAATCTAAGGTCACGACCAACCGTCTCATGATTTTGTTGGATTATTTACTTAGTACCCGGGGAAATATTCGTTTTAATGCTGATCGTGCGACATTCTGTTGCAGTGTACAATTTGTCATATATAAGAAAGATATTACCGCTACTAATTAATAGATCAACTAAACTCAAAGTCTATTACCATTTTACTGATATAATTGCCGACGCACATGCTGATCGGATGGCGCCAGCAACTCTGACATTCTAGATTCAATGTTGCGCAATTAAGGTAAATTGATTATGATCTTAAACATAATATCTTTATAATTATATCGGAATCGAATTACAGCGTAATTGATCTAAACAATGGCATCATTTTTCACCTTATGTAATAATAGACACGGATGTGATATGAGATAATGGATGAATGAATAGGTCTAAAAGGATCTATGCATTCTTGATAAAATAAATAAATAATTTTAAGTAGCCCTTTAGTAACGTGATAGGTTGTGCTTAGTAACCTGAAACAAAATTATCGTTGGGAATAGAATTCAGGGACTCTGCCTTCCATTTATATAAACAGCGGGCTCCGTTTATGTAATCATCACAAAAAAGGGTCGCCTTGTAATCTAAGTGTGTATTCAACAACAATAGCTAACGATAGCAAAACGCTAAGTCGTTTTGGTTCGGAAGAGCTTTCGACTAGACAGAAGTCATTGAATTTTTTTATAACAAAAAATAGAATAACTTCTATGAAATTGATATTTACCATACCATCATTTTGGCTTTGAAATTATATGTACAATATATTGTAATAAATAATAATAATTTTAACATTAAAAATACTATAATATCATACAAATTCTTGTATATCCTGAATTGTTATTCCGTGAAGCAATCCAAAATTCAACTCTTATTATTACCTTTGGGTCTATTTTTTTTGGATAATTGGAGCCTGCTTCCCGCGTAGCATTATCAATAGCTTTATACTTACTTTACTATTATGCTTAGATAAAAAAAAGATTTCGCTTCAAGTTATTTTTAACGTTATTATACATAATTATATTTACATAAAACTCTTAGAAACATTAAGCGTTGTAATCGATACCAATCCCGAAAGAATATTTGGCGGTCAATGAGTGAATAATTAATATCAATAAACAGGTCTTGACTCCACATCATATTTATATAACGTCGAGGTTAAGATGTAGTGTAAAGAGCAACCGCGCAGTTGTTACACGCAATATGGAGTCCATACAAACAACTCGTGCACTTTCCTTCAAGCCAAATACTTTAAGTTTTGTACGTGAACAAGTGAATATAAATTCACCAACTCGTATCAATGAAGCCATCGATTTATTGATTCAATGGATTCAAAAACAAAACCATTTTATAAAGAAGGATTTCTGTAAGTATTTTAATTTAATTTAAAAACTAGATTAGGTGTATTTTTAATATCTATGAGGAGTTTACTACTTTATAATCATTAAAAAATATTTAATAATAATTATCTTACCACCATAGTAATCTTAAAATACTGAGAAGGTTTTCTTTCAATTAATAATTAATTAATTTTACGTTTGACTATATATAGTTATTTTTCTTTATGAAATGAGTGGAAAAAAATAAAAAATTGTTTTGAGATGAGTTGAGTAAGCATTTTTACATTTTAAGTAGACAACAACTAAAACAAAACTAAAGTAAATTAAACTATTCTTTGTCATTATTTCAGTATTTTTAATATACCATTTTTTTTTGTTAGTTAGATAATAATAATAATCCGGTAGCAATACAACCAATATGAGTCATGGTCTAAGATTGCATCCAACTCTATGATAATTTTTATAACAGAGACAAGTAGATGATCAGCCTTCTATCTGACACATCGTTAACTTTTATATTTGTGACATGCCAGTTTCCTCATGATACTTTTCTTCATCGTACAAGCGTTAGATGCGCAAATATACCTACAGAAAGTCCAATATTGCACAGCCGGGGTTCAAACATATGACCTGAAGGAATAGCGGTTCAATTGTTTTAGCCTACGACCTTACCTTGAAGATATCAATTGCTTATTATTATTAATAAACGGGTTTTATGTACAGTACAATTTACTAAACAATAACTATAAACTTATAACAACTCTTTTAAACACAGTAATAATGCACATTTTTTGTTTAGGGTCTCTGCGATAATGCTGCTTAATTTACGCGAAATAACCTATATTATACAAATATTTCTGATAGAATTTTATATAGAGCCCTTAGTATATTAGAGTAGTTATTTTCTATAATTGAAATTTCGTAAAATAGGGATTTTGCCATAGCTTATAAGCTCTGATAGTGAATAAGATCGAATTGATACGAAAATAAAAAACAACATTTTTTTGCATTCTTTTCATACATTTCAGCCCGAGAATACCTAGAGAGGTGTGTTATCATAAGCAAAGGTTCGGTGGAAAGAGCAAAGAGAAAAATGGAGAAATCTTACACTTTCCGCACGCTTATGCCAGAATTGTTACAATTTTCCAATCCCAGGGATTTGATGAAGGAGTATGAAGGCTCGATGTAAGTGGTAGATATGGTTCAACTATCTCTCCAAATCCAGTTTTTGCATATAAAGCCGTAACCTATTTTTGTACCGAAAGCAAACAGAATGCATTGATGACAGACGCACGGATCTAGCCGTGAATTAAGTTGCGAATAAATTCTTATTTCATCAAGCCTAAATACAAACAATCTATACTTATGTACAACTCCTTATATAGAAATTGTATTCGTTTTTACAACAAACTCCCAAGCGAAATTAGAGTATTATCACTAAATAAATTCAAAGCCCTCGTTAAACGGAAATTAATCAATAAAGCTTTTTATAAATTTGAGGAATACTTAAATGATCCTAATCCTTGGGATTGATTTTCTCCAGTTCAAACAATTTGTATGACCCTAAACTTAGCGATTAAAAAGAGTGGCGGAGAGTTTCTTGCCAGCTCTCCTTGCCCGGTCTACGCCCTTGACTTGCAAACTGGTAGTAAATGTAAATTTAGAATTGATTTAACTTCTTTTCTGCCGTTCATGAGTATTTTACCTATATGAATA